ATTAAACTTCCTAATCACAGCTGAAGATGGTGGAGGAAGACTGCAATTACCATATTTGATCAAAGCAGCAACCATAGCATCTCTTGGAATTTGCAGTTTTCTATAAAGTCTAGGAGAGAACCTCTGAAGCAGAGTTTGACCTTGGCACCAAGTGTCATGACCTGCCCCACACCGTGTAGATGTTGTCCGCTTTGCACACTCTCCGTGCTTACAGTTTTCCTCAAAACGCATCTACACAGTTGGGGTTTGGGTGGTGGGGGGTTGTCCACACATATAATAAGTCTCAACCACTTCTCCCCCGCCCCTTTATCGGGACCCAGTGTCCTCGCTGATCTCCTGTCCCTCATGGGCTTGTGCACGCCCTTCATTTACAGCTGGGGATTGGCTCTGATACCACGCTATCACACCCCGGATTTCCAAAAGCCGAATCGTGTTAAAAGAAGGAGAAATTAAAATTCTAGTGATGTGAGAAAAGAGAATTTTTTTTATACCAAGATTGTATACATATATATGGAAACAAATGATAGCCTTGATTGCATAGACTGTACTTATTAGTTGTGTTTGGTTGCCTGAAATTGTAAGTTACTCTTCAGCTTCTAATGCACCTTTTTACTCATGCATCTAAGTCTTTATGTGTAAGGCTCACAGGGAATTACTCAATCGTTCCCATTAAAAAAATTTAATTACGCTCTTTTACTCTTATTGGGAATTGTTTACTTAAATAATGTCATAAAATAACATAATTGTTGAAAGAGAGAGAGAGAAAGAGAATATACGAAAACGTATGTCTTATTGAGTAAGTAAAACAATAATACAATGGTGTTTATATAGGAGAAGCTACGGGAGTAGGTGAGTGGAGAACAAGTAAACCCTATACATGGTAATTCTATATATGGTAATGAGGGGTAGGTGACAACTCATGCAATACTAACTGTACACGTGTGACAACTCATACAATACTGTACAACGTGACAACTCATACAATACTATACAACACTCCCCCTCAAGCTAGAGAGTAAATGTCAATAACTCCTAGCTTGCTACATATGGAATCAATAGAGTTCTTGGGAAGCGCCTTAGTGAAGATGTCTTCCAGCTGTCTACCAGAAGGAACAAAAGGTGTAACAATCTCATTCGAGTTAACTTAAGATCAAATTAAATGGTAATCTACTTCAATGTGTCCTCTCATGGTAGACTGGATTGCTAGCAATATGAATAGTTGCTTGATTGTCACAATGGAGGGGAATTGGGTACTGGACTGAAATCCCAAGTTCCTGTAAAAGAGTTTTCAACCAAGTAAGTTCACAAGCAGTGTGTGCCATGGCACGATACTCTGCTTCCGCACTGGAACGAGCCACAACTGACTGTTTCTTACTCCTCCTAGTTACTAGATTTCCTCCTATGAAGGTGCAGTAACCCGTGGTGGACCGTCGATCAGAAGGAGAACTGGCCCAATCTGCATCAGTGTATCCCTCAATCCGAAGATGTCTAGAAGATCGATAAAGCAGACCACGTCCCGTAGCACCCTTGAGATACTTCAAAATGCGTACAACTGCCTCCATGTGAGGTACCCGAGGACTGGTCATGAACTGTCTCACAACACTGACTGCATAGGAGATGTCTGGACGAGTGATTGTGAGGTAAATAAGTTTTCCTACAAGTCTCCGATACATCTCTGGATCATCGAGTGGATCACCATCATCCACCTTAAGTTTTACATTAGTCTCCATGGGTGTAGCTACAGGTTTCGAACCAAGGTATCCTGTATCCTATAAGAGATCAAGAGTATACTTCCGTTGAGAAAGATTAATGCCTTGCTTCGACCGAGCCACCTTAATTCCTAGAAAATACTAAAGTTTGCCCAAATCCTTAGGAAGGAAGCTAGAACTCAAGTGATGAATTAAAACTTGTATCCCATCTTTGTCACTGCCGGTGATAACGATATGATCTACATACACCACAAGAATCACAATACCACGTTTTGCTTTCTTAAAAAAGAGAGAGTGGCTAGCCTGGCTTCTAGTCATATCATGAGCTACCACTGCTTTACTGAACTTATCAAACCATGCACGAGGAGACTGTTTGAGGCTATAAATAGACTTCTTGAGACGACACACACTGCCCCTTATACTCAAACCCAGGTGGTTGAGTCATATAGACTGTGTGAGTAAGGTCACCGTGCAGAAAGGCATTTTTAACATCAAGTTGATGAAATGTCCCATCTAGATTAGCTGCAAGAGAGATTATCACTCGAACATAATTCAGTTTGGCCATAGGAGAGAACGTCTCAGTATAATCAAGGCCATAAGTCTGAGTGTAGCCTTTAGCAACAAGTCGAGCTTTAAGATGGTCAACAGTACCATCGGGCTTCTGTTTAACAGTAAAAATCCAACGATAACCAACAACCTGAGTATCAGCAGGCTTAGGAACAAGGTTCCAAGTATGATTCAATTTTAAAGCGTTTATTTCTTCTTCCATAGCTTTCTGCCACCCTGATGAGAAAGTGCCTCCCTGTAGGAATAGGGAGAGCAATAGAGGATAATGACAAAGAAAAAGCTTGAAAGGATGAGGGCAATTTATTATACGATACAAAATTAGAGATAGGGTGATTGGTACAAGATCGTTTACCTTTCCGAATAGCAATAGCAATAGGTTAACCACTCTTTTCCGGCAACGAGTATAGACACGAAGAGCTGGTGGGATGTCAGAATCAAAAACTGGAGTTGGAAGAACAGACTCTTGAAGAATAGAGTACTCCAGATGACTGCTTTCTTGGGAATAATAAGGAACATCCTCAAAGAAAGTTACATCTGCACACACAAATTGTTTACGAGGAGTTGGACTGTAACATTTATATCCCTTTTGAGTTGGAGAATAACCTAAGAAAATACATTTGTGAGCACGATGATCAAGTTTGTCTCGTCTCGGGCTTAGATTATGACAAAACAGACACACCCAAACACCTTTGGAGGAATGGAAAAAGGGTTTTTGTCAGAAAACATCATTTGGAAGGGTGATTTTCCTTGAAGGACCCTAGAAGTTATGCGGTTTAAAAGATAAGCAGCAACCAGAATTGCATCTGCCACATGCATTTGAATTATTAAGGCACGAGCGATAGCTAAGAGTGGGCCATTCTTTCGTTCAGCAACTTCATTTTGTTGAGGGGTATCAACACAAGATGTTTGAGGGATAATGCCCCTTGACTCAAGAAACTTTTGAAAAACATTAAGTTTATATTCAAGGGCATTGTCAGTTCTAAGAACAAGTAATTTTGCATCAAACTGATTTTGAATTTCAGCATAAAAGGATTGAAAAACAGAGAATACTTGAGATCTATCTTTAAGAATATAAACCCAAGTTAAATGTGAATAATCATCAATAAATGACACAAAGTAACGAGCACCAAATAAACCAGTAATACGAGCCGGTCCCCAAACATCCGAATGTACTAACTCAAAAGGTTTTAAACTTTTATTATCAAAACGAGACTTAAAAGTAGCCAGATGATGTTTACTAAGTTTGCAAGTAGTACAATAAAACTTAGAAAAATCAACTAAAGAAGGGACCAAGACTCAAAGACTATTTGAAGAGGGATGTCCAAGGCGGCAATGCCACTAATAAGCTGAAGAGGAGGTGGAATGTAGAGCTGTCGGAGCAGTAGTTGGCTGGAAGTAGTAAAGACCCTCCTTCTCAAACCCCCCACCAATCATTTTCTTCGTCTTGAGATCCTGAAAGACACAACGAGAAGGAGAAAAAGTAACTGAGCAATTTAAATCTGATATGATTTTGCGAACTGACAATATATTGAATGAAGATTGAGGGATATATAAAACTGCTGAAAAAGTGAGCCTCGAAGTGCGAAAGGTACCAATTCCATGAACAGGTGTTTTGGCACCATTCGCTATAGTAACAACCGATGGTGAGAAAACCTGAGAAATATCAGAAAGAAGAGATGGGTTACCTGTCATGTGATCGGATGCCCCTGAATCAATGATCCAAGGTGTAGAAGATGAAGCATGGAGACATGTATTACCTGAAGTAACGATAGTAGTGGTGGAGGAGGGCTGATTTGCATGCTCACGCTTTACCAGAGAATCATATTTGGCTTTGGAGAGAAAGACTTGTTCATTCGCTGCTACGGCTCATGACCATTGAAGGTAGTTCAAGCCTTTCCGTTTGGTGCTGGTGATTGACCCAAGAAGATGGGATTCCTTAGTATCCATCACAAGAGCTGCCGAACAAATGAGATAGAGTCGCGATAGAGATCTGAGATAAGAGAACCAAGATCTAGCCGAGATGAACCCGAGAGAAATTATCGAGGAGAGAACTGAGGAGGGATCCGAGAGAGATTGCCGAGATGAGAACTGAGATCACCGAGGAGAGGTCGCCGAGAAGAGTTTGCTGAGAGAAAGCCGAGATGGAATAATGATCAGAGTCTGAATAAGACTAAAAATATAATTTAAAGAGGGATCGATTTCCGCTCTGATACCATGTTGAAAGAGAGAGAGAGAGAGAGAGAGAGAGAGAATATATGAAAACGTATGTCTTATTGAGTGAGTAATACAATAATACAATGGTGTTTATATAGGAGAAACTACGGGAGTAGGTGAGTGGAGAACAAGTAAACCCTTATACATGGTAATTCTATATATGGTAATGAGGGGTAGGTGACAACTCATACAATACTAATTGTACACGTGTGACAACTCATACAATACTATACAACGTGACAACTCATAAATACTGTACAACAATAATGATGACCTAATTCTATTAGTTTGTCCTCTATCTCCCATATCACAATTCAAGACTTTCCTCCCTTCTGCGATGTCCTGACATACTGTGGTAATTCTTATATTTCAATGAGAAGTGTGTATGTCCTATCAAATTGGAAGATCTTATTATTTATTTAAGATTCTTGAAATGGAACGGATATTGTTCTAACTGAAAGAAAATATAAAATAAAGAAAAAATCATTGTGTTCATGCCATGATTAACAGAGAGATGCTGCTACTGCTCCAAATGTTGGGGATCGAGTACCTTATGTCATTATTAAAGCTGCAAAAGGTGCCAAGGTAATCTGTCCGGTTATTTCAGTTTCTGAGAACTGCTTAATTTCATGTATGAATCAAATTGAATGGTTGATGACAAACAGGCTTATGAAAGGTCGGAGGATCCCATTTATGTGCTAGAAAATAGCATACCTATAGATCCTCACTACTACCTAGATAATCAAATTAGCAAGGTTAGTTTGGTATTATATCTATAGTTTGCATCTAGTTAATAGTTTGTTCTACTTGCTTTTAATTATAGCATTTCATTTGCAGCCACTTTTAAGGATTTTTGATCCCATTTTGAAGAATGCTAGTAAGGAACTACTTCAAGGGAGTCATACAAGATCTATTTCTATCTCTACTCCTTCAAACAGTGGTATAATGAAATTTGCTAAGAAGCAACTGAGTTGCATTGGCTGCAAAGCTGTAATCAGGTACATTTCAAATGTTATGCTCTTCTCCCTTTTCCTTAATTAACATGTAAATCTTTGCTGCTTTTTCTTTCATAGATGTTTTTATGCTCACCGTAGTTAGATTTGATTTTAATGAATGGTAGTGTTGGTAGTCCCAGTGAACAGGCAATGAAGTTACCTCTTCTACAGCTGTCCATTCCTTTTACTGGGATGCATTCTTTTGCTAATTCTTACTCATGCCTACAACCTATGATATGTTATTGGAGAGTGAATATACAATACTTGCCATACTGAAGCATGGGTTTGAGCATTTAACAATCAATAAAGAATTTGTCTAAAATGATCATTTCTGGTAGTAGATTGTTAAGAAGGACGTAGAAAATACGAATTTTTGCACAAATGCATCTTCTGTTTGTGTGCTTGAGGGCCAATGATGCCACCATTGAGATGAGCTTGGAAACAAATAAAGGGTTTTGACTAATGAATTTATTCATGCATTTATTCATTATATTTTTAAGGCGGGACCATTGAGATGAGCTTGAAAACAAGTAACGGGGTTTTGACTCGTGATTTTATTCATGCATTTATTCATTATATTTTTTAGGCGGGGAAGGGGGGGTGATTGTATTGGTTTTACTATGAAAATCAGTGTCAAGATCATTCTCAAGTGGATGCATTTTTATCTAGAGATATTTATGGAATTTGAAACTAGTGTGGGAGTATGCTTGATGAGTGTCACAAACAACTCTGGAGGTACATTCTTTGCAACCTGAATTTTTTATAAAAAAATAATAATAATAAATAAATATATTGAGGGCTTGAGAACTGACATTTAGAGTGATATTCATTGGGTTGCATATGGATATGCCATGGAATTTAGAGGGGGCATTATTATGATGTTAATACTCTCAAATTAATCTCTTTGACATTTTAGTAATTGACATCCACATTTTTATCTTTTTCTTTTTTTCTCTCTTTTCATATAAACTTCAGAAATAATTATAAAATATGAAGAAATAAAGACGTGTAAAGGAATGCAAGGTTGAAACTTCTAGCCTCAGGAAAGTAATCCAAACAAATCCACAATCAAGAATCAAACCCCTACTACAACCAACTTGACCACAAAAAAAAAAAAAAATGATAATAATAACCCATCCCTCAAAATAACACTACAGAAGTGGCCAGAGGGCTAAAAACTGCCCTCCAACTGGAAGCAACATGTCACCCCCTTCTAAAACAAGAAGTTAGCTTGATCATTTGTATATCTCGGAAGTGATCTAATTTCTGTGTACAGATATATTAAGAGATCCATAAGGACTGAGATTTTACCCATCCAACCACAATCTCAGAGCCCCTACCTTAAAAAAAGTCATAATAACTGTTAAAATTGAAGGATCGTGTGATTGTAGGAAAAAGGAGAAGAGGAAGGAAGAAGAAAGAGAAAAATCTGTAAAGGATGAGAGTAAGGATGAGAGTATCATGGGGTTTCCCACATCTCTCGCCTATTTATATGTATTGATAAGATGAAAGTACAATTGTGCCCTTAATAAAAGAAAATAAACTCAAACTCTCCAACGCTCCCCCTCAAGTTGGAGCATGCAAATTCAACATGCCCAGCTTGGAACACATGCGCTGAAAAGCAGTACGGTTTTGTAAAAACATCACCAAACTGGTCGTCATAGCAAACATAGGGAGTAACTATTGTTGTCAGGGGCTTATTTGTTATTACTTACATAATGTTGGGGCTTATGTGTAATTCCTTAAACTTGTTATCATAAATAGAATGTGGTGGAAGGATGAAAGAATTCTTTCCATTCTTTCTCTCTTTCCCCATTTCTCTCTCTTTTTCTCTCATCCGCTTTCTTCTCTTTTTTTTCTTCTTTATCACTTACTCTTGATTTGATTGTATCTTAAAGTCAATGTGGTATCAGAGCATGGTTTGTAAAGCTCTAGGTGTTTTCTATGAAAGATCTTTCGACCACTTCACTATTTTTTAGGCATTGAGGTCAACTACACTGCTGAAGGGATTTTTCTTTCTCAGTCTAAATATGCAACAGATTTGCTCCACAGCATCCATATGGAAAATTGCAGACCCATTGCTACACCAATGGCCAGCAAAATCTCCACACTTAGAGATGGTGATGCTTTATTTTCAGATGTCACTGAATATCGGCGAATAGTAGGCTCACTTCAATACCTTACCATGACTCGTCTGGATCTTTCCTATGCTGTTAATACGGCCTGCCAACACATGCAACAACCCACACAAACTCATTTTCAGCTCGTAAAGCGTATCATACGCTATATCAAAGGAACTCTCTCATATGGCCTTCGTATTTTGGAAGCGAGCAGTTTAAATCTTTATGGATTTTCTGATGCAGATTGATCTGGATGCCCTGTTACTAGACGGTCTACAACATGATTTTGTACCTTCTTAGGTGCCAATTGTATATCATGGTGTGCTAAAAAGCAACCAACAGTTGCTCGCTCTAGTACCGAAGCAGAATATCGGGTTATGGCTTCTACCACTGCAGAGTTAACTTGGATTTCCTTTTTGCTAGGAGATATTGGTATTTTTCAGCCCACGCCACAAGTTCTATTTTGTAATAATCTCTCTGCTCTTCATATGACTGTTAATCCCATTTTTCATGCTCGAACGAAGCACGTTGAACTAGATTATCACTTTGTGCGCAAAAAGGTTGCTTCCAGTACCCTTGTCACAAAATTTATTCCCTCTACCCACCAGCTTGCTGACATCTTTACAAAGCGACTTTCTCGAGAGGCCTTCTCCATGTTACAAGTCAAACTAGGACTATGGGAAAACCCACAGTTCAGTTTGAGGGCGAGTATAGAAGCACCAAATTTAACCCTTCTAGAAGAGTCTCACGACTCACGACAGCAGAGATCCAATCCTGTTAAAAACAGAGATATGGAAGGAGAAATTCAATGCAATATTGTTGCACGAGATATGAGAGAGATTCAAGACAATATTGGTGCACCTACCTAATGAGTTAGCAGAATTGACACACAAGGAAACAATCAATCTTCACCTTGATTTCCTCTTCTAAATATTGCTACCATATCACCTTTCCTTTTGTATAATTCTGACTTGTAATATGTGTATAAGTGTATCATCACCATCATCGATTGATATAGAAGAAATCCATATTTCTGAAAACCCTTTTCCTCTCCTTTCTTCACTCAGAGGTATTTTTCTTTACCTATCATGTGGTGTGAAGCCCTGTAATCTATGATCCAAGGGTTGGTTTTTGAAGTTTCTGTGTGTAAAGCAGTGAGAAAGTTCCTGCTTGTGCTATATTAGCTGAAGAGGAAGGTGTAGATTAGTACTTAGTTGGCTCATGAATTTATGAAGATAATCTAACTGTTCTTTGCTGAAAACAGTAGTCTCCGAGCCTTTCTGCACATTTTGAGTCTTCAGGTTGTCAGCTGCTACCTGATAACCTCGGTTGAGCTGGCTGGATTGGTTGTTGTTGCTGCCAGGCCTGGTTCCTTGTCCAATGCCTTGCGGTTTCCCATGAAGCTTCCAGCAATGATCTCTTGCATGGCATGGCTTGTTGCAATAGTCACACCATAGTCTGTCTTTGTCCTCATTTCTCTTACTGGTTCGCTTTGCTCCAAGAAAGGCATTCTCGATTTTCACAACCATGGCTGAGTTCTCATTACCCGAGTTATTTGAGCCATTCATCATCACAGCCAGTCTTGATCCTTCCCTTCTAACTTCAGCAAAGACCTCTCTAACAGATGGAACTGGTTTCCTTTCAAGCAATCTTCCTTTAACCTGATCGTAGTCAACATTTAATCCAGCAAGAAAATCAAACACTCTGTCTCTCTCAAGAATCATCTTATATTTCATGCTGTCCTCCACATTCTTCCATCATGGTCCAGATACAGGTCCATTTCTTGCCAAAGACGACTCATTCCATTGAAATAAACAGTCACACTTTGCGTACCTTCTTTTGATTCATGGATCTTACGCCTGAAGTCAAACAACTGTAAGTGAGATCCTTGTCCGAATAAGTGAGATCGACAGCCTCCCAAATCTCTTGCGCAGTAGAAAAAAACATGAAACTCTGACTTATTTCTGGCTCCATCGAGTTAATGAGCCAAGACAAAATCATACAGTTTTCAGCATCCCACGCTTCAAAACCAGGTTCCTCTGGTTTGGGCGCCTTCTTTGATCCATCCAGCAATCCCATCTTCCCTCTGCCTTTGATGAAAAACTTCACGAACTGACACCAGTGAAGAAAATTTTGGCCATTGAGTTTGTGGGTAGTAATCTGAATGGTAGGACTTTCTATAGGCCCTTAGGATTTCCCACTAGAAATCTTTTCCGAAGCACTGACAGAGGTTGCTTCAGACATGGTGGTCGAAGGAAGTTAGCCAGTAATGAAGGCCAACTGATTTAGAAGAAAATGAACCCAGAACCCAAAGGAGGCTCTAATACCGTGAGGAAAGTTTTTGAATAGGGAATTCTATATTTCCTTCATCCTTTACAGATTGTACAAGGCCTATATATACAAGAAAGGACAGCTACACTCTAGGCTATAAATAAGGAAAGAAATTAATGTACAAAGTCAAAGATTTGCAGCTGTACAAACAGCTGGAATCAGAGACTAAATTGGGAAGGAATCATTCCAATTTATTCAGGGAATAATTCTGAATAAATTGGATCCGAATCCTGGGGTCAACTGCGCCTAGAATCCCAGATTTTCTGGTGATCTGTTTTTCCACAAAAACTTTAGGAAGATGGTTCTTAATTCCAAGCATTCTTGGGTGATGTAGGCTACCAGGGTTAATTAATTGCATAAGACATTTCTAAGTACTTCATGAGGTCCCCTACTTTTGAAATTATTAGTCTGAGGCTACTTGCTGGACATTTTTCTTTGCTGCAAACTGTGGGTGTCGGGAAGAAGGTGCTGATGAGAGTGCTTATGCAGCTCTCATTACTGCTTCTGCAGTTCCAGCAGCTGCTTCTTGGTGTTGATGATGTTCTGGAGTTGGTGGAATTTGTCTAACTAATTTAAAGGGAACATCCTTGCATTTTTTTTCATGTCCTGGTGGTCTCACTGAAAATTGAGGAACTTGAAATCTTTCGTAGTCATAAAGTTCCTATGCATTTTCTGACATTAGTTTTTGAGGTATCCACACCGACATGCTCTGATACCAGTTGAAGGATTCAGGATCAATATGTAAGAGCATGTAGTTCAATTAGACCTACATCGGAGTGGATATTATATATGGCTATTAATTTGTGAATTATAACTTTTCAAATTTTTGTTACTGCTTTGATCAATTTTCTATTTGATTAGTTATCCATGTATCTAAATTTCAATCACAAACACATAAAGCAATAAACATAGCAATGTAGAGCACAAGATTCTTTATGTTTTCCACCTAGAAAGGGAAAAACCAGGGGGCATAGTTCAGGTTGGTCAAATCCATTATGAAGAAATGTGTACAATTGGGTTAACCAAACTCTAAACTAAGAATCCCCTCATACCCTTGTCACATACTTTTGCCAGACAATCAGTTGTTGGCAGTCAACGAACTCTCTCCTCGTGCAGTTCGCACTTCCTTTGGTACTTTGATCTCCAATGACTGGTCACGTCCATTCAACTAATTGTTTACGAACCACCTAGTTGATGCTTTATCTGGTAGAGTTTTTATTCTGATCCTTGCTTTGAAAGATATAAATTCTCTAAAAAAATATGTAGAGTTAAAAAGACCTAAAAGATATCTTCTGGGTTTTTTTTTTATTTTTTAAAATAAGTAAATTCATTGAAGGCACTCGGGGGGGGGGGGGGGGGGGGGGGGGGGTTGGGTTTGGGTGGGCTCCCAAGAGAACAAAAAGCCGCTACCAGCGACATTACATCTTTAAACTATCAACAAAATTCAAAAGACTATCCAAGGAGATACAATTTCGCCCATTTACCCAAAAGAATAAAGACGACAAAATATTGTATTTGAGAGACCAAATAGGAGACTCCTCCCCCTCAAAGGATATCCTATTTCTCTCACGCCACAAGCCCCACCAAATACAGAGGGGAGTGGCCCTCCAAGCATCTCTGACTCGGCTCTCCACTATACACCCTTTTCAAGCCTCAAGCAAATCAACTGTGGACTCAGGGAACACCCAAGCCACACCAAAGGCAGGCAAGAACATAGCCCAAATGTCCCTCACCATAGGGCAATAAATCAGAAGGTGGTTCACAGATTCCCCTGACTTCTTACACATGCAACACCAGTTCACTACAACCCGGCGTCTTCTTCAGAGGTTGTCGAGAGTGAGGATACTTCCAAGGGCAGCTGACCATGCAAAGAAAGCCACCTTCAAGGGGGCTTTAGTCCTCCAAATAGCTCTTTAAGGGAAGGAAAGGCCAGGGGTCTCCATAAGACTTTGGTAGAAAGATCTAACCTCAAACACCCCTCTCAATGACCCCTCCCACACCATCATATCCATACCCACACCCTCCACCACCTGGTTGTAAATTAGAGTAAGAAAATTTGAAATCTCCAAAAGCTCCCAATCATGCAACTCTCTGCGAAACTGCACATCCCAAGTCACCCTTCCATTATCAAGCCGATAACAGTCAGCAACTACAACATGCTTATTCACAGCAATCCTGAAAAGACGAGGAAATCTACAAGCCAGCACAGCCCCACACCATCAATCCTCCCAAAATCTGACGTGCCTCCCACTCCTAACTTTGAACCGGATGCATTCGGAAAACTCATCCCAGCCCTTCCAAATGAGTTTTCAAGATCCTATACCCACGGGAGCTCTCACCTCCCTAGAAAGCCACCCTCCATCTCCCTCCCCGAATTGACAAGAGTCAACCTGCCTCCATAGTTATGTCCTCTCTCCCCCAAATCTCCATAGCCACTTGCCCAACAAGGCCTTATTAAACATATCCAACCTTCGGATCCCCAAACCTCCCTTTGAAATAGGGGTATAGACTCTCTCCCAGTTCACTAAATGGTATTTGAACTCATCCCCCACGCCACCCCACAAAAAAAATTTCTGAATTGTATCAAGCCTTTGGAGCACTGTCTTAGGCATCGGAAAAAGTGACATAAAATAAGTAGGGAGGTTTGAAAGGGTTCCTATGTAAAATAGGAAGATTTATATTTAAAATTATGTTTAAAGAGATTTTCCTAAAATATATTGCATTGATTCGATCGATCAAGACATCAATCGAACACTACTGCCATTGCTTTGATCGATAGATACTTCAATCGAGCACCACTAAACACTCTTGGCATTGCTTTGGTAGTTTGATCAATACTTGGATCGATTTAGCATTCGATTGAAGCTTACTGGACTCAAGATATATATCATAACTTACAACCCAACTTTTGGTTAGGAATTTGCCAACACATGACTCAATGACCTAACAGTTGGTACTTTTTTAATGTTATCAAGGGGACAAGTTTGTTATGCCTGGTTTTGGTAGGTGATATATTAAGATTACCTCCTTCATGTTAATTTGATTTGTACAGCTGTTGAATTGCCAAAAGGAAAAAAGAAGACTCGCGGTTGTTTTGTAATGATTATTTTCTCGTTTGACAAGCTGGTTACATGATCTGGGCATCCACTCTGCTGCCTTTTCTCTTCGGCTAACTATTTTGGTTTTCAAGAGTGCCGGAACTCGAATCAATGTAGGGTTTCTAGAAATGCCACTGATTAGATTGTCCAACATATGCTAAAAGATGTCTTGATGGTCCATTTTAAAGAAATTATACCGAGGTTAATCTAGTGTCAATTGAGTGGTTCACCAAAAAATCATATTCTTGTGTTTTTCCCTGTACAATTTTTTAATTTTTTTTTAAGAAAATTATAACATGAAATTTTTTCATGATACACATCAAAAAAATTGGTAGCCCCACCTACCCTCATCTTTGCATATCATGACATCAACCATGTGAATTGAAAGGAGATCTATTAAGTCAGGATCCCATTAATTTGTGTATAATATTAAAGTGCTTTCCTTTGTGTTATGGTGGTCTTTGTGGAGGGGAAAAATAGGAGATCCGTTGAGGGAGTGGAAACTCCTATTGGGGTGCTTAAGTTCTCTATCCTTAGCGCTCTGTATTTTTGGCTTCGGGGGAGAAATTGTAAATCTAGTGGATAAGTTGAGTGGTTAGGGCCCTATTTGGCCCTTGTGCAGTTCTTTTTGGATGCGCTCCCCGGTCGAGCACCCTTTTATGATACTTATAAAAAATAAATACATAAATAAAGAAAAAGAAAAAAGAAAAATTGAAGTACATTAATGGAACTAAATGAAACCTGGTGGGACCCTAATTTATGGAGTCTCTAAGAAAATCCATGTATTGTGATAAGTTTAATGGGCCCACAATATCTTTTTGTAAATATTAATGATTTTTAGCATTACTGTTTTAATTATGCTCACAACAACAACAGGTCATCCATGCATATCTATTTTGTACCTCATAGGAAAACCACCGATTCCTCAATCAAATAGGATTCTTAAGTAACAGTGTTGTTTTTGGTCCCAGTAATTCTGATCGAACTCTCTGCTCCCACTGCAAGGGAAGAGAAGCTGAACTTTATTGCAAAACAGTAGCCAACGGTATGCAAACTTCTTTTTGTTTCTGGGTTTCTTTTTGTGTTCATTAACTCTAAAAGTATGCTGGAACACAAATGAGCCTTTTCACAGAGACGGAAAAGAAATAATTATTGTCCAAATGCAGTGTCTGAGTTGGAGAAGCTTTTTGGGAGGTTATGGACGCAGTGCCAGGAATGCCAAGGCTCTCTTCATCAGGATGTGCTCTGTACCAGGTTTTATCTAAGTCAACCTTATTTCATATCTTAGAATTTATTCACAACCTACTAGCATGAAATTGCAGTCATTCCAGAAAGACATTACATTCAATTTACAAACCTACTAGATCACACTTTTTTGATTATTAAGGATGTTATATGTTTTTTCAGTCGGGATTGTCCAATATTTTACCGGAGGAAGAAGGCACAGAAAGACATGGCTGAAGCCAAGCTTCAATTAGATCGATGGAACTTTTAAGTGAGGAGTTTTTCTTGCGGAAGTCAAAATCTCTCCTGTTTTTTTGGTAGTTCCTAAAAATCATCGTCCAGTATTTTTTATATTTTGTATTAGGCAGCATTTTTTTATAGTTAAGGAGATCATGAACTATATCTGGTGCTAATGCCTTTAAAGTTTATAAAATATAAAATAGTCATTAATCCTAAAACAATCACACAGTTTCTCTCACCGGACCTTTTTGGCTTTCCATATAAATGCTGCCGGAAAACTTTTCTCCTCCGTTCTTTGTCATGTTATTACACAAAAGTTTTTATTTACAACCCTCCCTCCACCAAAAAATATTGAAAATAGAACACAGTTCAGCTTTAACATTGTAAATTTGAAAATTATTTTATAAAAATTAAAATTGATATTGACAAGTTCATCCACTGGCACTATTTTTGTCATGGTTGAATCTCTCACTTGGGAAGTTTGGTTAGTTGCACCACATTAAATTATTATTTTTTGTTCCCAAACGTACCTTCACAGTGCCAAAAAACAAGAAATCTGCGAGATTGCTAAAAACAAGAATGTTAAGACTCGAGGATAAAGCCAAGCAATATGGCCGTACATAAAAGTAATTTAAAACAGTTAAGATTATTCATTCAAAGAAAATCTAATTGAATACTTTATATATATAATACTAGTTTCATGCAAATCAAATCAATTTTTTGAATGCAGAGAGCAGTGTCACAGTAAATAATTGTTGAATAAAAAATAATAAAGAAGTGATCTCACCTGAAATGAGAAAATATGATTCTTCAAAATTTTCTAGGTCACTCAATTTTTGTTCCTCTAATTAATCAATGTACTAACATATAAGTATATTACACACACACACGCACACACGACACTCAAATAGAATAACGTTTTTTTATGAGAAAAGTAGTAGTGTGGAGTAAAGCAATGAGATTAGAATAGGAAGGAGTGTTTTTTACTACTAGATCATAACGTATGTGACAGAATATATAGACCACGACAATAGCCATCTCGCCTGATGGCTTTTGAAAATTACTATCGTGTAAAGTTAGTTCACTCTAATATCTCACAAAATTTTTTTTTTTTTTTTTTTGATCTGAATTACATTTCTTATTATTTCATACTGTTACCAAATCGATCCTTGTTTTCATGAGTTATGTAAGATGTATTTGTTTTCATTACTTGACGTTGATTGGGCCATTTTCATGCAAGAAGAAAATGATGTATCATATGCATAGAGATAGAATACTCACATCAAGACTTGAGAAAGTCTTTAGATCTATCCACCAAGGGAATGTTCTCTCTTGTGAAGACCACTTTAGATCCTAGCTCTTTCTTCCTTAGAGTACCACCTTTCTTTTGGTAGTCTTGCCTTTAGAAATCAACCATATACCTTTATTGATGACCTTGGGATTCAAGTTTGTGGGAACTTCAAGAGATGAGAGCACAAAACTTTAATTCTGGAGAGAAAAAGTGTATTACACTAATAGTGCCCCAAAGCTTATTCTTATCATATGGCCTAGTATATATAGGAACATGGATTAGAATTATGAATTTTCAATCTCCATAATAACAATGTTATCTCCAATCTAATGGGCTTCCACATCAATATTGGGCTATAGTTGAGAATCCATTGGACTTACTAACATTTTGGCTCTAATAAATTAATAATTAACCTAGTCTAACTATTAAATACTTAGTTCAACTAATTCATAAATTAATTTTTACTCCACTAAAATAAATTAATTGCACTCCAATCGGATAGTAAAAATAAACCACTAAGTCAATGTTGTAATTTGACCCCTCTATGCCTAATTTGTTATTGGATAATTAAAGCCATCAATCAGACCACCTAATTAATTTATATATTTTGGTCCATTGATTATTTCGAGTTCGATAATAATAAAAATACCTGAAGGCCTTCGAATTTACTTTGTGATCAACCATAATTAATACAAATAAATACAAGTAACATTTATGCAAATATTGATAATATAACCCTCTAACTATTAATTACATAATTACACAAATAGTTGGTCATAGGATCCTAAAGGCTTCGCTGAACAAATCAAAAGTAATTATTAATTAATAAAAAAATCTATACTTTTTTCATGGTTGAGTTAAATGTCATAACGATGATAGGGAGCAATTGTATACGCGACTCTTATAGTATATCTCAACCTATTGCGGTTTTGGTTCAAATCTCTATTAATATAAGAGTCTTTTACGACAAACACAGTGAGCCTAACAACAATCACAAAACAGAACAGAAAAGTAAATACACCATACAAAGAGCACAAAAATGATATATATTATGTGGATCCTTGATGCCACACAATGATATGTGATAAGTGCTCAAATGTTTCACATTTTAGCACCTAAGTTAGGGTATTTTAGTTCATTTATCTATTTTACTTTCTCGTTTTAGTTCTAATTCTTGTTTTTGTCGATTTCAGGTCAATAAGGTTCAAACAAGTTAAAAAATAGTTTATTAAGCCTTCTTTGAAGTCAAGAACAGAATCCGAAAAAAGTTAGAAAAAGTGCACTGGAGTACCTTCGATCGATCGAAGATTCCTCCACGATCGATCGCAGCCTTTTCGATCCATCGAAGTGCCACGTCAGTGCCAGCTCAGCAAAGGATAAGGCTAACAGAAGATATTTTCTTGCCATGTCATCTTCAATTGATCGAAGTTATCTTCGATCCATCAAAGTCTCCTTCGATCTATCGGAGCCCCTACTGGCAATAAACTGTTTAATTCCCAAGTGTGCGCGAACTCCACTTAACTTTTGCCTGCGGGATTAGACCAATGAAATGGCTATTTTCTGACTTGTTGCCTACACAAAGAGGCTTGTATTTAAATCAAATTGGACCATTTTTGTTAGGGTCCCCAACTTTTAGCTATTGTTGTTCATAGTTTAGATATAATTTTCTCTCTCTAGATTAGGGTTTTTGGAGCAAAAGAATAGGCAAGAAAGGAGAAGAAGATAAACTTAACCATGAAGATAATCCTTAAGGGTTGCAAGACAACATCCATGAGTGGCTAAATCCTCCTTTTGGGGCTTGGAAAAGACCCTAGGCTTGCCTTTTAAACCCTAGACTCTTGATTCAATTGGGGATTTTTGTTGTAACTAATCTATTGATCTTGTGATTTAATAAATCTTGTGATTTTGATGATTTAATTCTTCTAATTAATCTTCCAATTTTATTTACATGTCTATGTGTGATGAAATGGATGGTTATGTCTCTACATTAGATTCTACTAATTTAATACATGTCTATGTGTGTTTGAATTGTGAATCTAGTGACGGTCATGCATAGTGTTTATTGTTTACACTTGTGATTGATTTGATGGGTTATACTTATGCTTGATGGGTTATTCCACACCCTTAGTTAATTAGCTTAATTTTCATGTCATTAGTGTAATTGTATTTTATTTCCTAGATAGGTCGACAATCCATGCTTGTATTTGATGATTCATACTTATTGTCACGTGATGTACATTTCTCTAGATTTTTGTGTACATTAATTGTGGGTTTATTGAATGGTTAATGGCTTAGCTTGATGGGTTGTGCTACACGTTAGTCTAAGTAGACAATTCACACTTGTTTAGTCATCCATGCTCATTGTTTCAATTGTTGGCACACACTTGGTTTACAACATTTAATTTCCCCAAATTTGTTAAGAACTAGTGGTTTAGAAGAAGAGCTTAGCGGTAATTCTAGCTTGTTTACATCACATGTTTCAATTTAATAGTAGTTAATTAAATCAACCAACCCTCTCTTTGATCATTCGACCTACTAATCCAACTTTGATTCCGAATACCTTGCAAATCCCTTGGGACGATCCCTTCTCACTTCATACTACATAGTATAAGTGTTAAGTGGTTTTTATAAATTTTTAAATGTGGTGGCCACTTCACACACTCATACTTTTTACACTATTTTGAGCACTCCGCTCCGAGCACACCACGTTTTTGGCACCGTTGTCGGGGATTAACAATGTCGTATTTAAAATTGAATAGAAATTAGTACTCTTTTGATCCTTGTTTTTACTTTATTTTATTTTCTTTCTCACTTGATTCTCATTGGTTAGGTACTTGGAGTCAAAGGAAAGCAAGCATTGAGTCTTGAAGCAAGCATAAAAAGCAAGCAAGAAAGTATATATAAAAAAAAGAGAAGGAAACAAAAAGCATGACCTTTGTGAGCATTTCTTAACTCTTCTACTTAATTGATCATCTGCCCATGTGGAGGCCATTAGTTTAATTTCTTGCATTGTTAAAAGCACGGGAGTATGGGAACAATGTATGTGGAGGTTTGTTGTTGATTAAAGTGTGGGTGTGTTGACTATTCCTCGTGAAATCTTTTCCGCTCTTAATCATCACTCCAATAGACGACCAAAATGCAAATCTTAGATACCAAGATCCCAATGTAGGTCACCAACTTCATCCAGATCTATTTCCTCCTGGAATTCAAGCTCCAAACCCTCCATTGGTCCATCGTGATCATTATACCCCCAGTGTTTACAATGCACCTACATGCATACAATTGCCGGATTTTAGGGCTAATCACTATGAGATCAAGCCCTCAACTATCCAAATGTGTCCCATTTTCTATGGGTTAAACAATGAAGAACCTTACAACCATTTGGATGAGTTTCTTGAGGTGTGCTCCACCGTAAAATTCACGGATATGCCCGAAGAAGTGTTGACGTTGAAACTTTTCCCTTTCACCCTTAAAGAAAAAGCTAAATATTGGTTCAACAATTTGGGGGTTAATGCTATTACATCATGGGCTCAATTACAAAATGAATTCCTAAATAAGTATTACCCCGCCTCTAGAATGAATACCATGCGAGAATCTATTCGTGAATTTTCTTTAGGTGAGGGAGAGCTTTTTCAAGAAGTGTGGGAGAGGTTGAATGAATTGTTTAGGAAGTGCCCACATCATAGCATTCCAAAATGGTAAGTAGTTCAATACTTCTACGAGAGCTTATCCGATGCCCATAAGGGTATAGTGGATGCTTCATGTGAAGGTTCATATTTTGGAAAACATAAGTGTAACGACCCGAATTTCTCAACCTGGTGCATTAGTGATGAACCGGAAGTTGACCCGATAACGAACCCGAAATGCGGAAGCGAAAGAAACCAAATGACCTCAAGAGATGTACGTCATCCCTAAGGCCCGAAAATGACTCTCCACGAAGCCACGGAACTCAAATGAGCCAAGCAAATGAAGCAAGAATGCTTAACCCGAAAAGAGATGAACTAAGGGCAAAATGGTGATTTCTCACTGAAAAGGGTACCACCGTGCACACCATTGGAAGGACAACGAAAAATGAATAAAATTAGACACAAGAATCGTCTGATTCTGAGTTCGGGCAGAAAAGATATGAAATTCCAACACCCGATACGAAAGTTATGAAGTAATGACCTAACATTTTTCAATATTTTCATAATAAACTTTGAAAACCAAAGTGCATAGAAAATGAGATATATGCCATTGGCCTCTGGCCTCATCTCATACATGTTAAATACATTGAAAAGAGAGTACTTATGTACACTTTACATATATGAATCAACGAATACAAGTTTAAACAAATAGGGCTACAAAGAGGCATCATATGCTAACACTTGCATAAAATAGAAACTTAGAAACTGTAAGCCATCCAAAGAGCAATGGAATCTTCAAATCCTGAGTCCTGTACCTGAAATATGCCCTAGTATCGTAGAGGTGAGTAACATAAAGCTACTCGTAGGAGATGAGCATGCATTGACCTAGCATTTTACAATTTTATCACCTTATGGTGAAACATGTTAAAGGGGCTCATGCCACATAACGTCTATGTCAAGATGAGACCCAGGGAGCATCCTGAGCTACCTAGATCATTTCTATCATAATCACATTGTTCATGCAATTCAAACAATATAGAAACATTTTATACAAGGCAACAAGATATAGATTCTCAAAGTCTTCAACTTGAAATCTAAAATACGAAAACAAGTGTAGGTCATGCCACCTAACGTCTATGTTCAAAATGAATCTATAAGGTCATTCCTAAACTACAGTTGAACATCAAAACACAAATTATGATATCGATGCAATTTAACCAACAATGGAACTTCCAATACAACGCATGAATCATGCTTGCACAAAGCTACATCTTAAGCTCAAAATAGGAAATCAAATAAAGAACAACAAGTTACGATATCATCTAGTTATCAACTTGAAATGAAATACGAAATCAAACAAAGTGGATACTCGGACGTCATGCCGGATTAGACCGACAACATAGTTACTTTAGGGTTACTAGCCCATGGGTAACCTCCCTATGTGCGTACTAGACTATATAGAGGGACAATCCCCCGTACTAGTCCTAGTCGTAGCCAAACAACGACATCTCCAAGTTTCCAAAATCAAAAAATTGTGCAATAACGTATATATATCGACATGTATATATAATATATCAACTATTTACCAAGCACAATCCAAATTTTAGAAACTTATACAATACATGCTCAAAATTCACAACTACTATGGCATGTAAGATGTCAAATACAAAGTGTGCAATTCCTTACACATAGCAACAATATATTCAATAAGGAAAAACATATTCTCATGAATATAAAAGTAACAACTATGTTATCCAATACTCAAAAGTAATCAAGTGAACATACATCAAATTCAAAAGCATGATTTAAATATAGAAACAACTTCCAAAATGCAATTAATTCCATGGAGTAATAAAGTAGAATTTAATTAAACATAAATAGTTAAATTCTCTAAATTTCAAGTTAATCCAAATAACCTCAATTTAATATATAGTGAAAGACATGTCATGGTCATCATATATATAACATCAAATGACAAGTTAAGTGATTAAAACACATAAAACAAAATTAATCAAGCTAATTAATTAATTTCCTCTAGGTTTTTAAACAATTCCAAATGCCCTTAATTTAATCTATGTTAGAGAACATGCCAAGGCCTATTTAAATACCATATTACAACTTGATTTAATTCTTGATACAACCATGTGAATTAAACTTTCACTAAAGATAAATATTAAATAAAAGTTGTAATTCTTAATCAAATGATCCAAATTTAATATATGTTAACTAATATATCTAAGCATAATTTCCTAGCATGTTACAATTCAAATCAAAGTTATACATCATCATAAATTTTAAATCTTATACAAAGAAATAAAAATTACTAACTTTCTAGATTTGATACAAGGCATACATATATGTTGTATAATCATTGCAAATACACAATACAACACACAAACAATCCTAAAACATTCCCTACCTTAATTGGAATGAAAATCCCAATTACCACTGAAATGAAATCGCCCCAAATTTTCAGTCCGCAAAACAGATTTTTCAGCTTGCTACCTTCAACTTGTAAAATTCATAAAAAATTCAATTCTAACCCAAATTGAATGAATCCAAACCCCAATGAAAGCTTAAACACTGTAATTTGATAATATCAATTTAGTTTAACAAAATATTTTTCCAATTGAAACAGTTTTGACCCACAACATTGAAACAAATTCTGCCCAGAAAACACATTTTCAGCCTGTAGCTTCCAACTTTGAAAATTCATGAAAAATTCATTTGACATCAAAATTGGGCAAACCTAATTTATTTTGGAAGTAAACATATGATAGTGTAAAACTGGAAATTTAAGCCATGATCCAATGTCAAAAGGTTAGTGAAATAAATCATCTAAAAATATGTTTTCCAGCTGCAATAAAAACATGGACAACAGATAGTTTCGGATTTTAAAAAAAAATTTAGAAATGCTCTAAAATCGTGCAAAAATTCTGAGTATTGTAAAACCCATGGGGGAAGTTCCAGTAAAAATTTGAAGGCAATTGAAGTACCACAGCTCCATATAAAAATTCATTTCCGGACCAAAAAAGAAAAGCTTCAAATTTCCAGCAACTAGCTTGCAACTTCAAAAATTCATAACTAATTCATTTTAAATCCAAATTACATGAAACCAAAACTAAATGAAAGATAATTGAGTATATTTTCATAATCTATATTTAATTTGACAAGATAAATTTCAAGTTAAAACAGTTTAAGGGCAAAATACAAGTCCTTTTCTTCCATGCATGTAAAACACTCAATAATGACATAAAAATACTTCAAAATAATAG